TAAAATAGTTCGTAAATATAAAAAGATAATTGTATTCCCAGAAAGCTTTTATAACAGTTTTTCTCAATTGAGAAAGATCTATCGATTACCGATTATACTGTTTCGGGTTGAATGCATTAACCGGTGGGAGTTTGCTTCCGTTTTCTCGTTCTTCGATGTGAACCCCACGTAATAGCGAGGCTAACATCGATACGTTGCATTTTAGTCCTAACAAATTTCTTAGACAAATCGGGACAATTTTCACCGTTCGCAAACACACTTCGTCTCATCGCGTTTCACCTCTCGAACATAAAGTTACATGTATATGTGCGTGCATGTATGCGTGCGTGAGAGAAAAATAAAATTTTCTCTCTCTCTCTTTCTCTCTTCTCCTCATTTTCTTTTTTCCCCATCTCTTTCGTACTCTACATGAATATACATATGTATCTGACAATTCGATAACGCAAGGATCGAATTAAACGATCGCCCTTTGTACTAATATAGTACACATTTTATACGCTTGATTTTATTATATGCTGATCTTCGAGTTGTTAAAATATCGCGATCAACGACATTTCACGTACATTCAAAACTTCCTCTCCTCTTCTTCTCTTTGAAAGATAAAAAACGTTATCGGGCCGGTTATTTTTCACACGCGTATTATTTATACACATTCGGACAGATTAATTCCTCAGGTCGAGAAGCTCGACACTCGAAATCGAAACGGGCTTTATTCCAAACTATCATCGGTGTCGATGATGTTTGTCCTACGGCATATTACAAAGCATAAATTACGCAGGCACCACTGCGCTTCGAGCCCTCCGGCTCGACCTTCGACTTATCACGCGATTCGCCGCTAATCCGCCTTCGTTGTTTCGCTCAACTGACAACCTAATCCTTTTCGTGCCCTGCACACCACGGCGTAAAGTGCCTCGGTATTGCATTTCCCAACGTTTACCCGCTACACATTTCCCCGTTTATGTTCGACGTCACGAAAGAACCTAGCATTGTTTTCCAGTGGCGAAATCGTTGCTAAATCTAAGGGCGGTTTGCCACAAGTCATCACGTTCGTGTCGAGCGATTTAGATCCCTCATTCGTCCTCTTCCCTTTAAGATACCGTTTTCAAAGTGTGATCATGTCTTTTTCAAAATTTATCTATATCATTTAAGAACAATGTCCTTTTTTCTGCATTCTCTCAATTTATAATTCATTCGGCAAGAAACTTAATGTAAGACTAAAATCATTTATGCGGATGAAAATTTCAAAACGCAGTAGGAAGTAAAATTTCATAAAAATAAAAATGACGAGCTTCTTCAGAATTAATTGATGCTGCTATTTAGGCAGAATTCATTCACTCAGCGCGTAATGTTGATAAAAGGAACATTGCTGCCTCAAATAGTGATTGATCATTTGAGAAGATCACACCGTTGTCAAGATTGCTGCCATTCATTGCTTATTCTTGTGTCGTAAGTTGTAACGTAATAGTTTGCATTCTGAGTAGACAAATTATCTTTACGCTATTTCTTTTTTCAAATTCAATGTTACAATGTTAAACTATTCTTTGAGCAGGAATATTGCAAAAAGTACATTCAACAGAACGTTAATATCGCAGTGCTTTTGGTTTTCTCCGTTTCTCCGATACTTTGACATCGTTAACGAATTCTACGGATCATCGATCAATTTTAGTCTCTCTGCATTTTTCGGTATACGAAACACGGCTCACGGCTTATTTCGTCACGGTGAAAGGTTGAAGTATCGCGGAATTTTTTGAATAATCGAGCGGACTGCAGTAGTTATACATTGTTCGGGCAGATCAGAGACAGGTAGACATAGCGTCGGAAGGGGCTAATAATTGTCACGCATGCTATGTCATGATAATAGCACGACTTAAACGCACGACGGAAATATAAGCTGCGAAATCGAGAGACCGTCCTCCTCCGCTTTTAACATCGGAACTATACAAAAAATAACGATAACTGTAACATTAAATATATATATAATATAATATAATATAATATATGTATGTATATTCTCCGTATATGTTTCATCGCCGAGGTTTTCATACGCACACAACACATACACGCACACTCTCTCTCTTTCTCTCTTTCTCTCTTGTATATAAGTATGATTTTGACAATCTAAAGTTCGTTCTACCAATTAAGATTGACAATATTTTTTATAATATTATGGTCTTTTTCTTCTTCATATAGGGGATCAATTTTTGCCTTAGCTGTGAGCTTAATAAAAAGCTAGGCCGATTTTAGGCGTTTAGGCTACCGAAAAAATGTAATATTATTTCTCTGCTGGTGTATCTCTCAAACTGTAGATATAATAACATTTTGTTCACCTCGTATATAATCGATATCACATTATAACTATTATCTCTATGTCCTTAAAACGTATCCTTTACAAACGCTTTATACAACACGAGCCCTGTAACCTGAATTAAAAATCGCCCTATCGTCTATCATACCTTAACTGTACAATGTTCCTATTTCTTTTTCCTTTCATTTCTTTTTAATTCTATCTCGTCTTCTTGCTTTTTTTTTCTACGTTCTCTCGCTTTCTCAATCTCACACACATACATACCTGTGTGAATTTGTTCACTCTCTCTGTTACCCGTTTACCTTCACTGTGTACATGTAACAATCATAATAGTAATAATTTCTAACAGTATCTTAGTAGAGTGTTATATAGAGTGCAATATCGAAAATTTGAAAGAAGTTAGCAAAAAAAAAAAAATAGCAGCTCAGAGAATATCAAGCTGATGTGGAACATCACGGAAAGTGCAATGTTTAAACGTTCGTTTTTCGCTTTTTAAGAGCACATTATAATAACATATTATTTGCACATTTTCATACATGCAAATATCTGCAGTGTATCTCGATACTTTTCCTATGCAGAAAAAGATATCGCACGAGGATTCGATCGCGCGTAAAATGCATCAATAAGCGACACGAATATTTTCGATCGATCCTTAGAATCCTCGCACAATGCATAAATTCGAATGTGCGATTTGCAACAATCTTTTTCTTTGCACTTAAGAAAATTTGTTTTTCGCATATCGCTTACAGATTATAGATACGATAGTAATAATAATTGTATTTAAGAGGAATACGCTCGGAATTGGATCTAAATGTTTTACGCAAACAAGATTTTTTGTTGAACGAATTAATTTTACATTGATCAGCAATAAATAAATTTATTGCTAATTTATTATTTAAGAGTTTTCGCGACTTAATAAATTTATTCGAAATATGTTATAAATCTCTTAAATAACATTTAAGGCTGGAGATTTAATTAGAAACTAATTTTCGTTAAAATCGAATAAACAATTTAAATAAATAAGCGATTGCTTTTTACTTCGCTAATTAATGTTATTCATCAATATGTTCTTTTTGCTCGGAAATCGATTTATTTGTTTTTTGTCTTCTTTATCAATTTATTGGTGCTTTATTGAAACAAAAGTGACAAAAGTCTAAAGAATTAAATAGATCAATTAATTCTTTTCAAACTTTTTAATGTTATTCTATCTTATTTACGTATCAACAATAATATTCGTTCCGATCGTACGTTGAAAATCCGGTGCGACAATCGTCCGTTTCGTTTGAGACGTAATTGCTGTTGCTTAAATTATATCATTTAATGAATCAGTAGGTAGTAATAATAGTAGTAGTATTAAGGCTATTTTATTAAACAATTAAACATAATTTTATTTTATCTTTCGATAATAATTTGTGACTGTTAAATAAGTAAATATGCGGAATAAAAATATTTTCTACATTTGTATTCCTTCACTGTAAAAATTTTTTGCATAACATACATTGCAGCATATTTAAATAATTAATTAAAAGACAAAGATATATAAAATTATATGATAAAATTATATATTCTGTCTGGAATGTACGTACTCGCGTAATACTCGCAATTCGTCGTCGAAACGGAACGCCGAACATTGCACCGCATCAGATTGAATTCCGTGAATACAACAGAGTGAAAAGTTATAACTCTATTCTACGATATTAGAGGCAAAGAGAATTCCTGCTTTAGAGAAAAATCGACGAGCGGTCAGGTCACTTCTAGGGATTAACGTTATGTATAATATTCGGACGTGAGCGTGCCAAGGAGTCAAACGAGAAGCCCTATGGTAACATTCTGTACATCGGCGAAGTAACATCGCGTTTTAAATCTGATATATTATTGCTATTATAATTATATTCGAAAGACGTGATGTTTCGATAAAGATGCACGAATCAAGCGATTACGATACTCATGATTATATAATTAATAACATCTTTAACGAATCAGGCGATTACGATACTCATGATTATATAATTAAAAACATCTTTAACGGAACATTGTTGAATGTAAGGTGGCTCTCGTAAACTTTTTATTGTAAAAGTTTTTAAACGAATTAATAACGGTGCTGCAACCAGTTTGTCTCAGTTACAGTTCGCACTTATTAACAAGAAGTAGAAAGAAAAAAAAAAAAAGAAATAAAGAAGAAGAAGAAGAAAAAAAAAGAAGACCAGAAAAGACTCTCCAAGTTTGTGCCAAAAAATTCTTCCAAAGATTATATAAAATTATATTGATTTGGTCCTTGGCACGATCGGCTAACGCGCTCGCCATGCCTAAATAATAAAAGTAGCGCACTCGAGTGGAGTGGCGTGCTCGATTAATTCTTAACAAGACGAGTATTTCGTTTCAGGTATTTCAAGATTTTTTTATACAATATATACACCTCTCGCGCGACTAGAGCAAAACGCCTCGTAAACGGTACGCGAAGTTGCTGTGACTCGATGATCGGTGATTTAGGTGACGGTATTAATATTATAATGGTGCTGCTATTGCCGTTCAACTGTCAAGTTTCCTTCATGCGCGCGCGCGCGCGCGAGGAAGGTAATAACTGGCGCGGTTTCCTCCTCGGCTCGAAGCGGCGACCGCGGGGAAGAGTTCTCTCGTCGGCCGAGACTCGTCGACGATGATGACGATGACGATGATGATGACGAGACCCGTAAGTGTGCGTCCGTTTCGCAGATGTATCCTTTCTCCGCAGGAGTATCAGTTACCTCTGCCGCGCTGTTCCTGGCTGCCCTACACCGGGCAGACCAAGAACTCGTACTCGAACATCAGCGAGACGGCGACGAAGACGAAGTAGAGGATGAACATCGTGAAACCGAGGCCCTTGTTCATCTTCCATCTGAAGCAGGCGATGCTCAGTATCACGAACAGCAGCATGCAGAACAGTATCGCTATGCTGCACACCATGCCCACCGAGTTCACCTCCACTGGTTTCCCGTAGATCAAACCGTACAGGAGCCACGGAACCGGAAGCCTGCGGGCAGAATCAAAGCGCAAATCGAGCCCATTTTCACTGCCCGACTATAATTAGTACGCCGACTACAATTAAATTAAACCACTGTGCATTTCATCCTTTTTACTTATTTTTTTGTTATCCACCAGCATAGAAGTGCAGGATATTTTTCAATCATGAGCATCCCAAGTAGAAAAATATATAAGAAAAACTGGTTACTCGCTGGAAACCGGCTGGTTTTTATTCTTTTGAATTTATTCAGGACAAAAAAAGATTAATAACTGACCGAAAACTGACAAAATTTACTATCCAGTTACTAACCAAATAGACGTCGCCCAAACTGATCAGAATCTAACCAGTCAAACTGGTCAAATATTGGCTATTAACCAGAATTCTTGGCCAAATTTCTAGTTTCTGATTTGTTTTCTGCTTGGGATTCCAACAAGAGATATTCGCTGCAGCAACGTGAAAAACCATATAGTAATTAATACTTAAGGCTACCCATGATTACTACATCGAAAGCTTTTTAGTTAAATGGCTTGTTGTTCGTCATATTGATTTTGTCAATGCTTGCAACTTAAAGGCTCCTAAATTAAAATTCTTATTGTTCTTATATGTACACATACACACACACATCGTTATTTTTTGTAAGCTGGAAATTTATATTACTTGTTAAACTTGTTATACTTGTTAAACTGTTCATACGCGAATAGCGAAACGTAGCACGTGCTTCCGGTGAAATTTTCTGAAAGCGCTCAGCGCGTTTGCATTCTCGCATTACAAATTCTATTAGAACATTAACGGTTTTATGATTACACGTGCGGCCGGATCATCCGTTGCATCGATCGAGCAGAAACATGTGTGTGTGTGTGTGTGTGTGTGTGTGTGTGTGTGTGTGTGTGTGTGTGTGTGTGTGTGTGTGTGTATGTGAGTGTGTGCGCGCGCGCGTGTGTAGGTGGCTGTTGCCGCTCTATATATTATTTGAAGTACAGTATCTATAATTCACATTCGTCTGTAACAATGCTGTCGACGTGTCTTGGATATATAGCGTTTGACGTGCAATCGCAGACGCATTGCACACAAATGCGAAGAAATATTTCTCCGCTTTCCTTTCGGGCAGTCCGCCAGTTGGCAATCGGTCAGCGGATGCGTGGCTATGATTGATCATCGACGGGAAGAATCTGATGTTTCGTCGCGGTGTGCATTTGCCAGGAAATCGAGTGTCAGTGGGGAGGGGGAGGGGGAGGGGAAACTGCGTAGTCAACTTTGAAAGATTGGATCTTTCACCGGAGTGTGTGCGAAGATAAAGTGTGAAGAGGTGTAATTAATTCTTAGTGATGACTGCCAAAAGATACTGCGTATCCTTGCCGTTTGCTAAAGACCGCTAAAAACCGTTAAAATATGCGTGAAAATCGCAGTCTTGAAACAGTTTCAGGCTAATTCTGTTTAATTTTTACTAATGGCATTATTTCGGAAGTCGAAATTTACATTGTAGCGAGATTTTGAATGTAAGCAAGAAATTCAAATATGTAAACCACGTCATCCGGGAATCTTCGAATTGGAGAGCTCGAAAACTTTTGGCGAACTTTCGTCATTCGTTCGGAGCTCGTGTAATACGGTACGGACAAACAATACGACGATTTTGTGCTTTTATTAGAGAAAAAAATGGAACTTTGCGGTTTTAACGATGAGATGAGTCGAGATTCTACGTTTGAGATTCCCGAGACCTTTCCGCGGAAAATGAGTCGTGATGTCTAGATATTTGCAGTGGAACAGTATTCGCGGCATTTCCCACGCCAACAATATAATAATGCCAAGGAATGACTAGCGAATGCGATTACAGTGAAATAGCGAGAATGCCTTGACGGGCTCGGTCCGACTACCAATTCCGCCTCTTCTAACCTCGTTCGATCATCAGCAAAATTCCGATTCGTATCTCAACGTACGTATTATAAGAAGAAAGATATATACGTATATATGAAATTTTCATATCGGGATTGATGTTGGTATAATGCGGTCCCCGTGTGTGTGT